AAGACACTGACATATATACCAATGTGACAGGAGACGTGACATACATGCCAATATGACAGGAGATGCTGACATACATACCAATGTGACAGGAGATGTGACATATATACCAATGTGACAGGAGATGCTGACATATATACCAATGTGATAGGAGACTCTGACATACATACCAATGTGACAGGAGACGCTGACATACATACCAATGTGACAGGAGATGCTGACATATATACCAATGTGACAGGAGACTGACATACATACCAATGTGGCAGGAGACGCTGACATACATACCAATGTGACAGGATATGCTGACATATATACCAATGTGACAGGATATGCTGACATATATACCAATGTGACAGGAGACGCTGACATACATACCAATGTGACAGGAGACGCTGACATACATACCAATGTGACAGGAGATGCTGACATACATGTCAATGCTACAGGAGACGCTGACATACATACCAATGTGACAGGAGATGCTGACATACATACCAATGTGACAGGAGACGCTGACATACATACCAATGTGACAGGAGACGCTGACATACATACCAATGTGACAGGAGATGCTGACATACATGTCAATGCTACAGGAGACGCTGACATACATACCAATGTGACAGGAGATGCTGACATACATGCCAATGCTGCAGGAGACGTGACATACATGCCAATGTGACAGGAGATGCTGACATACATACCAATGCTACAGGAGACTCTGACATACATGCCAATGCGACAGGAGATGCTGGCATACATACCAATGCATCAGGAGATGCTGACATACCTGCCAATGCGACAGGAGATGCTGACATACCTGCCAATGCGACAGGAGATGCTGACATACCTGCCAATGCGACAGGAGATGCTGACATACCTGCCAATGCGACTGTAGATGCTGACATACATGCCAATGCGACAGGAGATGCTGACATACATGCCAATGCGACAGGAGATGCTGACATACATACCAATGCGACAGGAGATGCTGACATACATACCAATGCGACAGGAGATGCTGACATACATATCAATACTAACAGATGACAATATAATTCAATGTATTTTGTTTTATCTCTAGTTTCCTCTGACTGTTCTTAGTCAAAATATGGCAGACTTGTATGGGTATATGCCCAAGGTAGATGCAGGTGCTGTTAGTAAAGAAATTCTATCTCCTATGCCTGGTTCTTTAGTGTCAGTTGCTGTGGACATTGGTCAAGAGGTAATTTTTTAGCTAGTGTAATCCTAATTTAGGTTATTATTACACCACAACCAGCCAAGTTTGTCTTCATCTTCAATCATTCTTTTTGTTATCACCAAATGCTAGGTTATAATAGTGTCAGTATATATATGCCGTCATGAAATAGTGCCATCTTTTCTCACAGTAATATTCATGTTTATGTAGGTCTTAGAAGGACAGGAATTATGTGTCATTGAAGCAATGAAAATGCAGAACAGCATAGCAGCTCCATTAACTGGAAAGGTAATCATGCTTTTACTCTTTGTAACAATATATCGTATTCAACTGCGTTAGCGTCCATGCTCAGGCAAGCGCCCACCCCCACAGTTACTTGGGGGCTGAAAATCAATAAATTCTCATTTTTTTTTACAAAATCATTCGCTATACGCATATAAATGAACAAGTTGTGAAACATGGCATCTAGTAAATCGACACCTTGTCAGTGCAAAACAAAAGTTTAGAGGGGGATCGGGTGTTACGGTAATAACCATTCTTCATAATCGCTAACTTGGTTTTATTCAAAACTGCACAAATCTTGCGTTTTCTGATGATATCCGATGATTTCATGAACGAAAAT